TTCGGTGTATCCTCCACTTTCGCGACAACACCACCACCTTATAATCATTCAACCAACGTATCTCATGTTCAAAATACATGTGATTTTATATTAAAAAAAAATACATTATTATTGAGTTGCTAAAAAAAACTATACGAGGGTGAAGAATCACTGCATTTAGATTTATTCACAGGAATTTTATATTGTTTTAATATCAATATTTTGTGAAAAAGATTACAAGAATGATTTCAAATCTAATTTTAGTTTCTACCATGTACCAGACTTAGAACCATCATCATCATCTTCAATCACTGTACTTCATTTTGGTTTCTATTGGAATTTGCAAGTAGCATGTGCCCTGTTCTACACAATGTGTGACCACAAAAATTTAATGAATTTTGAAATTTTGTTTATCAGAATTCTGGCGGAACAGTTCCTTGTTGGCTTCCACCCATTTCCATGATGATATAATCATTATTTCTCAACTTCTATCTATAACCAAATCAATTTGTGAAGGGAAAGCCATAGTTTATTATTATAGACACTTTTAAAATATAAGATATCAATAAAATAATATAAAATATGACTTTTTTATTTATAAAACTCTCATCAAATCATTTTAAATAATATTATTTTTAACTTTTTTTAATTATGTTGACTAATTAAAATTTATTTTAATTTTTAAATATTATACCGAATATATACTAACTTAATAACATTAATTCAATAAATCTTTTAACTTTCATATTATATATATAATGAATTTAAAGAAAAGCCAAGAAAATAAAATTAGCAAGATTTAAAAAAATATATATAATAAAAAAGTTATCTGTCAATAATTAATATTTTATTATATAAAATAAAAGAAGAGAAGATAAAAAAATTAAGAAAATAATCTAAAAATATATTTAGAATTGTTATACAAAATTATTCAAATAATATAAGAATGATATTCCATTAAAGAAATTAATTAAACTAAGAGTATTAATATATTAGTTATTTTCTATGAATTTTTTTATATATTTTTTTAAAAATTTGTAGGAAATTTATTTCTTACCATTTTTATAAAAAAATTGCGAAATGATTCATATGAAATATGAGGATTCTAGTAAAAAGGTTGAGACTACTTATAACAAATAACAACAGAATCAAATTGCTAAGTGAATAAAATAAAGGCAAAGAAAATAATTAGCATCTTTTATGATTCATAGGTTTCTTACTTTTTACATTTGATTTAGGTTGTTTAATTAAATTTTAATTACTTTTATAGTGCTTTGTTTCAAATTTGAACTCAACATTAAAAGAAGGATCAATTTATTCCTATTTTCTGCAATCTCTAGATGAAATCACACAAGATTTTTTTCAGTAGAAGCAACTTCTTTTAGATTAAAACAAAAATTACTATATTTTCTTTAATAACTGTGTTAAAAGAATGAATAGAGGAGAGAAAACGAATAAAAGAGGCATGGCTTTTAAACAAAAAAAGTTAACAATCAAAATCAGTGAAAATCATTTTATAAGACACGCTTGAATAGTATATTAACATGTGATTAACCAACAATATTTATTCATAAGATCAAATTAAGAAATTATGAATAAAAATTCATGAGAATGGAATCGTTTACCATTGTGGCTTAATGAGATGTGTTTATGTTAAATCCATTTCATAGAATGTGAATTAGTTCTATTTAATGTCCAAATTAATGAATTTGTCCTATTTTGGTTGAAAATTTTGAATAATTGATTGTGTGCATGTATTAACCACCATCATTGGCATGTAGACATATGTATATAAGACAATTGTATAATTATCTAAGAGAATAATTTAAAGATTTAAAATAATGGTCTAATTTCTTTAATCTGTGTTTAACTTGTTTTAAGTTTCAATTATTTCCTTTTTTTTATCTCGTTAATAGATGGCATGTTATTTTTGTTTTTCAATTTAGTATCTTTTTAAATGAGTTTTTTTTTTTTTATAATAGACATATTATTTTACTTTTTTTTTATTATTTTTACTTTTATAATTTATATTATATTTATATATATTAAAAAATTACAATATATATTAAATCAAATATATATATATATATTATTTATTGTACACTTTTAATATTTACATATATTAATAAGATTTTTTTAAACTTAAATTTAAATATTTAAAATAAAAAATATAATTATATTTTCAAAAATATATTATTGAAAAAATAGATTTTAATTTAAAAGTGTTACTTTAGAAAGTTATTTAATAAAAAGGTAATTCATATTTATATGGATAATTTTGTAATTAAATAAATATTTAATTTTAATTAATTTATTTGTTTAATATTTTTTAAATGGATATTATTTTTCATTTTCATGTCAATAAACAAGTATTTTTACTAATATTTTTAAAATCAGACTGAATATAAAATTTCAACTTAAGTTCAAACTAAATTTAATAAAATAATATTTTTATAAATATATAATAAGTTTATTAGTATAATAATAATTAAAAAATAAATAATATACTATTATCAAAATCACAATAAATTGTAATAAAATTTATAAAAGTAAAATGTATTAAAGAATGAAAGGAAGAAAAGTAATTAAAGGAAGATAAAAATATTGATAAATAAAGTAAAATTAAAAAATATATTTTTTGTAAAAAGTTGTACTTAAAAAAATTGAAAATTTTAATCTTAATTATTTTTTTTATCAAAGGATGAAAAAAAATTAGTCTTTTTTTTATTTTTTTCAATTTTACCGATTTAATTAAAATCAATTTATTTAAAAATAATAAACTAGTTTTTAAATGTATTAACAGATTGATCAGATCGAGTTTTTAAAATAATATTTCTTATTCTATCTCATCTTTCTCTTTTTCTTTTTATTCTCTCACACGTTTTTTTTAGAATTTTTTTATATATATAATTTTGAAATATAGTATTCTTAGTCTTCTAAAAAATTGATCTATATTATATTTTTTTTGTTTATTTATAAAACTCTGTCTAAGTCACATAGAAGCCAGAAAATGATGCATATAGAAATTAAAGAGACTAAAAGTGAGAATTTTTTTTTTTAAGGAAATTAAAGTTGATTTTATCTTCACAAGTAATTGGTTTTATTTTTTAACTGACTATTCAATCTTTTGTCATTTTTATGTTTTAATACATGTTTTTCCTGCTATTCAAGAGGTTTTGCTTTTAACAAAGTAAGTCATGTTTCCTAAAGATATTGACTTAATTTATTCTAATTAGAGCATGGTTTAATTAAATTTAAATCAGTCAACAATTATTAACTTTAGATGTCAAATTAAATATAGTTAGAATAGAAGACTCACCGGATGAACTAGGATTTTTAACAGGGATTAACTATTGATAAATATTATACCCAGATTTAATGAGAATAAAAAAATAATGTATGAATTGTTTTCATTTGTTAGCTACTTTTTTTCTTTAACTAATATAAAAAGCAAATCATAAAGTGAAGAAAAGAATTCCTCCAAAAATAATACCCTACTCCTTGAATCCCTCTGCAAAAAATATTATAACAAATGGGCTTTTTTGAGAGGAAGGGTTAAAAAAGTTGGGCCTGGAATTTTTCTTGGTGAGTCAGAACTTGGGCTTGATGGGTAGCCCATATTGTAGTTGTTCCTATATCACTATATGGATACACAAATTATTGTTGTCGACCTTACGTATTAATTTTTTCTTTTTCATCGTTATAAAATTCTTGAGCATCTTCTATTTATTCCGGAATGTCAAAATACATTTCGAAAATCTCATTCTAAATTGAATGGGACGTTTAAGAATTTTATAGAGTGCATGAAATGTGTTTTACGACTTATTTTTTAATTTTGGTAAAATTTTAAAATATGAATGAGAAATCTTTAAACAAAAACATGGAAAACTATAAAAATGCATGGTTTCATGAAAAATATTTAAATAATATTAATTTACGAGGATATTTTACATTTAATGTAGAAAGATATATTGATGGAGTTGATTGTATGAATGTATATATCGTATGTTATTATTATCTCTAAGGTGGAAGCATATGCATGTTAACTAGTGAGGGCGAATAATACGATTATCATTTCATGCCTATCATTCACCTGAATTTTCTATGTAATGGATATGATATCATTTATATTGAGAAATAGTTTGTTTTATTTCTACAACACTTAAAAAAGTATTTTGAGTATAATTACTTAAGACATCCAATATCTAAAGGGAACAATTATGAATAAATAATTATATCTTGATGGCCTAAAAGGATAAGGACATAAGAAAATAAATACAATTTTGTCCCATGTACCCAAATATTAGAAGCTTTACTAGTACCTGGGAGAATAACAATTTTTGTTTTGTTTTGCAAAGTGATAAATATCACAATTTTTGTTGACATGTTTTAAAATAAAAATAATTTGATTATGTAAGTCATTGGGACGTTATCTAGAAAGGTGACATATCTTTCTTTTTTTCTAAATGGTAAAGCCCTTTTGAGAAAAGTAATGCATGAAATGCTTAATCAGTGAATGATGGTGATCAAATAACTTAACCGTAACCACTTTCAACATACTTTGTTAAAAACAGACAAAAGAAAGGATCGAAAGACTTGATATAACGAAAATTTGGCAACCGACCAAGCGCCATAACAACACTCAATTGAAAAACATGTCGACAATATTTTTTCATGGTTTAGATGACTACATGTCGACAATATTTTTGCCCGTTTTGTTTGTTTCCCCACCTTGCATGCAGTTGCGAACGAAGTGATGAAAAATTAGCCAAAATGGTAGAAGTCAGTTTCCATCTAACCATTTTTTTTTCCTTCGATTCTGTTGCAATTACATATAGTAATTCTAAGCCTATGTGTATATAACATACAAGGAAATAAAATCTGCAGCAAGGATTGGTACATGGAGACAGCAGTTCTGTGGCAAGAAACTTCCTACGGTATCCTTTGATCTAAAGCATGAATTGCTTCTTCACAAATCAAAATAGCCCAAGGAACACAGCTTTTGTTGTTAATGCAAAATGCTAAGAGTTGTATGGTGCTGATGTGGGAATCTTGCGAATCCCTTCTTGAGTGCCAACTGGTTTGTTGGATAATCTACGCTTGTACCGTTTGAGAACAGATGCCAAATTCTCCTTTCCCTTTGGGAAGGCTATATCACCAGCAGCAGTTCCTGTACGACCTTTCCGGCTAGAGATTGCTATCTCCACATCCTTGACCATCTCAAACATCACCGATGCAGTTGTGCACTTTCCACGGCCTGGTTTTGATGCAGGGGGCAGCATCCCGTTGGAAGGAGGTGAGCATGACTTTATCTGGTATGTCATGGGAACTTGAAGGCAAAAGCATGGGGTCATGGGACTACGAGGCTTAGAGAAAGCCAGATCAATTATACCCTGAGAAGAATTGGCAAATAAGATCAATGTAATGTACTAGACTTTTAGAGAGTAGCAGGAGGCAAAATTTTGTATCTTCAACATGATGTTTTGACATGCAACCAACAACACTCATATTATAGTGCCTACTTAATGGATGGATTCTATTGATGACGAGTGATGATTGCATATATATATAGCATTGGAACAACATCTCCAAGTGAACAACCACTAAAGGAAAAAGAAAATATCCCACTAAAGAGTGTAAATATTAAATTCTCCGTGAGACATGAAACAACCAATATCTCCTCACAAACAGAGCAGCTAAGACTCAAATGTCGGGTGGGTTACTAAAAATTTACCTGGAGGCGATTGAGTACAAAAGTGTACTTCCCCCACAGCTCTGGTCGGCTCTCCATTAGTGAGAGGTCAAGGACACGATGGATACACCACACACCAAAGCTTATTATTATGTCTGCTCTCCACACACATCCTTCCCCACAATTAGGGATTGAGGTCACGGAAAAATTAGACCAATTTGCCTCATTATTCTTCGTTGAAGAAAAATAGCGGCCTTCTCCCATAGGATTTTCCCGATTCATCTCTGTGGTTTCAACTTCATAGACAAATTTTTCCCTTGCAGCAACACGATCAATCAGATCTTCATCAGCTCCATCATTCTGTTTAAAAAGCCAATCAGACCCTTCCAACTTTAGGAGTTTCAAAATACAATTTCTAAATGATTGAAGAAGTTTGCCATCTATATCCACAACCGAAGTAGTTTCCTCAGTAATTGCACTAGATCTATTTCCAACATCTTGTGTTGCAGCATTATGAATTTTATCATCGACCCCAAACTGCTCAAAAGGCTGTCTGGACCAGAGGGATCCAGTACCCAAACCAGAACTCAATTGAGAAGAAAGTACATCACCGTAGACTTTTGATGGAGAGAGTACATCGAAGGCTAAAGGAGCTCCTGTCCTTGATCCGGAATTTGAATATAATGACGGTTCATAATGAGTCCTACTCGCAGAAGATCTATATCCACCAACAGAACCATCCCATAGAGCACTCTTATCAGATATGTAAGCATCCCTGTGAGGGATGACATATCCTGAAATGTCTGGCAAGCTGTGGTACCTCTTAGAATTAACTGAACTGACTGAACTATCTGCAGGTCCAGAAGGGCGAGAATCATAACAGGACCTTTCAGATGGCAATTGGCTATTCTTAGAGACAGCAATGTTCTGGAACCCTGGGGGTTGGCTCAAACCTGAACCGTTTTGCAACTTTTGACCCATAGCAAGTGGAATAGAATTCCTGTAGTTGTTCGAATTACCCACAGAGTTCCTGTAGTTGTTCATAATACCCATGGAAGGGGATTCCATCAAACCATTTAAGTTGTCAGAATTTGCCTCTTTACTAACCTGATTAATATAAGATGTAACCTGATAACCATGTATAGTAGTTGGCTGATAATCCCACGCCCTGGATGTAGGTAGATTGCGCACACTGGAATAACGCCTTTCACCAGCATTGAGGGGATTGCAATTAGAGGTCTGAACATATTCATCCATAAACTGGACGGGATTTGTCCTCACTGAGGAATAACTCCTTCGAGGCCCATAGGAAGGCTCAAAATTACTTTGCATCCTGTGTTGCTTGGGAGAGTCGTATGGAGCAGAGTTAATCAAAGAACCCGGAGCTCTACTTCCTACAGATATCAAGTGTTCAGAATATTCCTTTCCACATGTATCCATTTTCTGCAAAGAGCCAGTGAGTCTTGAATCTACTCCCAGTAAAACATCACGTTTCTTAGCCTTAGCTTCCTGGGTATATTGACCATGAAAATCATAAAGTTGTCCCCAAAATTCATCAAGAATAGCAGCTAGTTGACGTCTTGCACCACGCCCTAAACCTGCTAATCTCGAAAGACTTCCAATGCTATTACTTCCATCATCACTTTTCCCACTAAGACTCCTGAATGATGCTGGGCCATCGGGTGCTGAAGATGGGGCTAGTGACACCACTTTTGGTGTTTCTTCAGTTTCCCATGAGTCTCCATCATCATCTTCCCTATCGGCATTTGAATCTCCCTCAACTTCTACAGTTTTCTCAACAGGGGCACTAGTTTCTGTTTTTAAAGTTTTGGCATCTCCCAATCTAATACCAGAAGTCTCATTACTTGCAGTTAGCACAGCCTCTGATTCTGAAGTGGAAGTGGATTCCTTAACAACAGATGTTGGGGAGCAAGGAAACGATGTATATGAATGAGTCTCCCTTACAGTAGTCACAGGAACATCAGGAGCCATGACAGTTTCAGGTAGATCATGATGAAAACTTGGAACAGGTACATCTGAGTATTCCAGGGTCCTTGTTAGAGCTGGTAATGGTTCCATCACCTGCACAGATGCGTCTCCATGATGATATCTTGTTTCATTTAAATCTGTTTCCTCATTATCAATCCGTGGTTCTGATACAGCCTGTGGCATGTCCCAGTTCCATCCTGGATCATCTAATTGAACACTTGCAGATTTTAATGGTGTGGCAGCTAACCAAAGCATCAGACAGAAAGATGCAAAAGCGGTGGAAAGAAGAACCAAATAAGAAAGAGAGACACCATTTCCCACACTCCATCTCAAATTGCCCACCCAATCACTACTTCCAAATATCATTTCTACAACAAAGACAATATTCAAGACAAGCATCCCAATAAATATGATCAAGGCCAAAAATTCCACAAATTGAGGGATCTTGTGTACCCCCATTATTGATCTAGATGAGGCAATCCGAAATAGGGGGATCACTGAGGATGGAAGTTGCAAAGCTACCACAATCTGAGTGAATATCAGTAGTTGATACATCCCTTCAGCTCCTGAACTCCAAACACAATAAAGGGCAGGCAAAACAGCAATTACTCTAATTGTAGCATAATGAAGCCATCCTGGAATGTCCAATTTTAAGAAACTATGCACAACTACTTCTCCACCAAAACTCCAAGTTAATGCTGTGGTTTGATTTGCCAAAAACAGAATGAGTAAAAAAGCAAGCATGGCTATTGGACTACGTAACACCTGCAATCAGAACTTAGAATTAGCTTTATCCAGCGTTAAGACAGATGTGACTTTGTCAGTTGTGAACATATATCAAGATGTAGATCAATTATGCATGGAAAAGAGACCTGTTCCATTGGAGATAATGCGTCCTGAATAGTAGTCAAAACAAGACCCATACTGTAGAACTCATTTGCTCCAGCATTCATCAGCACATTGTTTACCAAATAAAGGCCACTGAAGACACATATAATGGCCAAAATATGGTTTTGACACAAATCATCCTTAGGAATGGTAGCTGATCCCTGATGCCACTGAAATAAATGTAAACAAAGTCTCAGATTGACAAAACAGCAATGGGTATGAAATGGTACATTATACGCATTCCTTTATGAGAAAAATGTAAGAAACTAGTAACCTGATTTACTCAAGTAAAAAATATATTTTTTCCCGAGGATTCCTTAAACAAGACCAGGGAAAACCACATGTAACCTGATTTACTCAAGCCATAAAAAGGAATTGTGACCATGCCCTCCCCCATTAGTGATTTATACAGGGTATTGAAGATTGTTGAGGGTATTGAAGATTGTTGAAAGTCCCATATCGCATGCCTCTGGTATGGTTTAAATACATGTTAGGTTACTCTACATATTGCCAATTGGTTTTATGTTAGAACCTTAATATGGTATCAGAGCCAAAGCCTAACATCTTTCCGGTTATTGTCTTGGGCCAAAAGTTGCCCTTTCGTTGTGGGTCAAAAGTATCATTTGCCTGGTTCAGCAGATTTCATTGGAGGGGGCATGTTGAAAGTCTCATATCACCTGCCTCATGTTATTTGGTATGGTTTAAATATATGTTAAGCTACTCTACATATTGCCAATTGGTTTTTTGTTGGAACCTTAACAAAAATGATTCTAACACAGGCTAAATTAGAGGAATTGCCAAAACTCAGTAGGACATTTTGGAAGTCAACTTTAAATTCTGGATTATCACACAATGAAACATTCTTTAACTAGACAGGGCCAGATGCAGCTTAGTTACAGTCAAGATGTCCTCAGGAGTCATGGGCTGAGATTTTCACAAATGTCCAAACTAAGGTATTCCTACTCGATGCACAGCCATCAAATCCTAGCCACAAAAAATAGTTTTCCCCTCTAGTATTTGCATTACATCCCACTTTATCACAGTTCCTGATTTGTACATGCCAATTAGCAAACTTTTCCCTAGCATGTAATATCTAATTATCAATCCAAATTCCAAAGCACTAATATACTTGTCATTCCTTTTAGAAGTTTACATGCAAAAGTAACTTCAAGTCTTCTTTGAACATAAGTTTGATTTTAAAATAACAGATCTCTAGCAGTACATTATCTATCCATGAAAGACTACTCCCATGTGGCACGAGGCAGACATTTAATTCTTAAGAACAAGCCAACCACAAGATTTAAACATGCTGTGGATGCTGCTGATACTAGAAAAATTAGATAAGACAGGAAGTAATACCTGTACAATAGAAGAATGAAGGTAGAAGTTGTGAGGCACAAGAGTTGCTCCTAAAAGGCTCATCAGCATAAATGCACTCTCCCCACTCAACTTTGTTAGTATTCCATTAACGGATAATGGAATGTCTGATTGATTAATGAGAGTTCCAAGTACAAATGTAAGAAACACAAAACCTGACACAAACATGCCCAGGATCTTCGCCTTCTCAATGTCCTAGACAAAGGATATATCATAAGTGTATTGTGGATCAACAGAAATTGATGAATAAGCAAATGATGAAACTTACAAGGAAGACAAAAAGAAGGAGATGGAAAACAGCGCCAGTGGCAGTTAAAAAGACACAAGTGAACAAGTCCCACCCAAAAAGAATATTTAATCCATGTGCCATGCCCAATATCTTGCAAAACAGGTAAAATCACAGGGTCATGTCAAGTTAAAGCACAGATAAATCATATTCTTTGCTAAAGTGCCAGGTAATATTGAAGGTAAATCAAGGGTGAGAAATATTACCATGTTAAGGTCTAGCATGATCACCGAAAGTTCTGCTTGAACTCCAAGAAGCATGCATGTCCAGTTATCGTACTCATCACTGCAAATCTTTGGCACAAAGAAAGTGAAGCCCCATAAGCAAAACACACTGAGTTATGCATGAAGTTCCACAAGAGTGTGTATCTGAGTGATTTGTAGGGATAGAGAAAACAGAAACCAACTACCGACCAAGTACTCAACTTAACATGCAGATGCAAGAACTGCGATATAAACTGACTAAACTGTGCATAACATAGTATATAGCCCATGACCAGAAACATTACTTTACTTATTATTTTCAGGATGGAAGAAACACTTCATAAGTATAATGTCCTTACATCCAAATTATACCTAAAAGGGTAGAATTAAGATTGAATAGAAATAATCATCAATCAACATATTTTTATAAAGTTCTGACTTATATGCCAAATAATACACAGACAGAGGATAGAAATAATCATCAATATTCTTTATTCCTGATGAAATAAAACCAAAAACATAAGAAGAGTGGGGAAAATGTAAAATATCTTTGTGGCTCCATTTCCTTTTGATAAGAACCTTCTTATCTTTTACCCTTTCATATCTTATAGTTTCCCAGTGTGGAATTGCTTGCTTGAGAGGGGTGGGGGACAAACGTTAAAAAAATCACAAAACCAACAAATTATTCAAAAATCATGCAGAACCTCTTTTTATTGTTTTGAACCGGGGAGCACATAAAGCTTTCAATTTGTACAATTCTACTGCATCAACAGTATAATTATATAAATTCATCATGTTGAAGGTTTAATATACCTGAGCAAGATCTTTTCCTGTGATAACACCAATCTTTGCTGATATGTAATGACAGAAGATTGCTGCAAAATTGAAGATAAGTGTGAAGGCCATCAGATCAAACCCGAATCGTGCACCTCCTTCAACAATTGCCACCCACTTTCCAGGGTCCACATATCCTATTGAAATCAAAAGAATAGGCACAACAGCAGGCAGCGACCGTTGAAGAAAGCTGGGAGGGTGATTAGCATTTGAAGTCTGTGCTTCCATTTTACTCTTTTAGTACAACAAAGAGTAAGGCTACAGAATGATACACGGAGAAACACTTGGAAGTACCAAAACTCAGTGAGCCATAAATTATATTGCTGCTAGTAAAGTATATTACTAGCAAAACATTTACATGTCATTCACCAAGATTATAAAGATAAAATTAAAGGACAAAGAACTTTCAACTTGCAAGCCAGTCCAAGACAATCGCACAATTCAGCAACTAGCTTCTCCTCGTATCCCAGCAACCAGCCAATGATGTTCCAACATTAACTGTGATCCCCAGGAACAAATCTGACTTTATCACTAAAGTCAACCTGCGGACCATCCCAAAACCTCTTCAGCACAACCTTACAAATAATTCCACTCATACCCTTCACACGACTGAAAGTCAATCCAATTCATATCAAACACCCCTTTAGACTCTCAATGTTAATCCAACAAAGTACCCCGTGATAAATCAACCTCCCCTGCCTCCTCAAATCCTGCAACGAATTAATTAACGTCAACAGCATAACCACCAGAACAGAAAGAACAAATACCTCGAAAAACCCATCAACGCAACGAATTATTACCAGACACGCAAAAAAGAACGGAACAAAATCATTTTATCTTCCCTAGATTTTTGCTTTATGGAGCAAAAAAACAAAAGTAAACGAAAATCACCACAGGAACAAATTGTACAACATCCACCAGAATTAAATAATAATAATAAAATATTAGATCTTCAGAAGAAAACAAAACGTAAAATTTATGCTCCAAAACGCTAAAAAAACGCTCAGAAGCATATAAGCAGGGCAAAACCCTACACTGTGTACGGTCATGTAACATATAAAAGAGGAACTGAAAGCTTTGGCGTGGATCTGATGCAGAGGAAACACACAGACGGAGAAGAATAAGAAGAAAGAGAAAAGAGGAAGAAAGAATGGGAAATAAATAGTTGCACGAATTTCGACAAGGACGATGATTGAGGGTTTCATGACTCAGAATTTAAAGGACCGTACAGTTTCAGAGTCTGAGAGTCGTTAGGGTTCTGAAATCTTTACCTTTCTCTGATTTTCTTTTCAGCTGCCACAAGTCTCTATCTCGGCTACGCTATTCACTTCTGCAAAGTAGATCTCACGGGATCATATCATCATATATATATATATATATATATATATATATATATATATATATATATATATATATATATATATATATATATATATATATATAAACATAATAAATAATAAATTGTTTAATTTATTGTTTAATAATTTACCATAATAAATGGTGTACTACCAACTTGCGAGATCATGGAGAGAGAAGAGAGAGCTCGATTTTCCCGGAAAGAGGAGAGAAAGCTAGGAAAGAAAAAAGAAAATTGTGGCACGGGTGAGGGGTTTCAACTTTGAAGGCCACATTGAAGAGAGAGAAAGTGTTAGTGAAAGAGTGAGTGATGCGAGAAAAGAGAGAAAAAGTTTCATCTCATAAATGTGTTAGAAAAAGCCTCTACAAAAATGCTGTTATGTTTTTCTATATTTTCTTCTTCTTTTTTCTTACGTTCTTCTTTCACTCAATTTTTTTTTTCTACAGTTCAATGAATATTTACAGTGAAGGTAAGAAACTTTTCATTATTCATTAAATAGACATTAATTTTTATTAGTTAACATGATGCGTTTGGATAACAATGTAAAATTATTTTATGATATAAATATACAAATTTACTGTTATATTATTAGTTTATATTTTATTATTACTGTTATGAATATTCTCTATGTGTAAAACTCGTTATTTCCAAGTATAATATTGCGAGATTGAGAAAATAGGATTACTATTATAAAGGCTTAACAACTTTAAAAGATTTCTCTTAATTAAATAGGTGGTGTCTTTAAAAACCGTTGTGCAACTTAATTTATTATGAGCATGGAAGAAACGTGAATTTGGAGTTAGGACAATGGGAATTCTCGAACTCAAATGTTGTATCAAATATATGTAACATGATTATGTGCATGTAGTGATCTCATCTCATTCATGCTTCAAACAAATGGTTTTTAATAAACCTTTGTTTATAAGTAGATTAATTAAGCTAGTTATCAAATTAATATTTTGATATATTTTTCTTCGAAATGATAAAATATTATATAAAATATTAGAAGAATATATATCACAGCTCTCACCTCAAATAAAATTTTTCATCGTATTCCCAAATTTTCATATCATCACACTCCTTCAGTGTGGGAAGAATTTTTCAACACTTTTTTTTTATTGCTTAGGACTCCCTCCATTACAACAGGTTAATTATGTTTCCATTGTTTGTGAATCAATATTCTAATAATCTAATTGTTATTGTTGTTAAATTTCTTGAGATTTTACCACATGACCCTGAATACAAAATACTTGTCTCCTTCTTTACAAATTTAAATTGGATTATGTTTTGCAACATTAAAGTATGAATAGAAAATAGTAATATATCTGCATGTAATAAATAGATCACTATATTACTTTGCTAGATTGTATCATTCATATATTAATGGATTATGCTTTTCAAGATTAAACAGTTAATTAAAATAGTAATATATCTGCATGTAATAAATAGATTATTATTATTATTTCATCATTCATATTTAATTAAATTATGTTTTCTACAGAAATTTACATTGACTTATTTTTTTCTTTTACTTAATAAATCTTTGAAGGCAAGCTACGAAGATTGATGAATACATTTAGCTGATTAGTTTGTCTTTGATAAATTCTATCTTCAACAACTTTTTATCTAAAAAAAGTTGGATATGCTAAGTATAAGACAAAGGCATCTCAATTAATTTACACTAAAAAATCATCTACAATATATCAAAATTAAAAAAGAAAGTGTAAATTATCGTAAGTAACTAGAATAAAACTCATGGAAACATGAAGAAAATAAGTTAGGCAAATCACATTAATTTCTAAAAAAAATAAAAAAATACTTACTATACTAGTTTAGAAGAACATCTCATTAAACATTAAAATCTCAATCATTACCACTTATTTTATAAAACAAAACAAAAAAATATGACTCTTTCTAAAAACTTTTAAAATTAGTTTTGAATTACATTCTAAATATAAAGAATATCATCCCAACCTATAAAAGTAGAAAAATACTTTTTGAAAAAGTCAATATTATACTTAAAAATTCCTCCACTAGATAAGTTAATTATCCATATTATATTTGATAAATCTAGGGTGAAAACGTTTCTATAATTTAGGATTAAAGGATGAACGAGAATACTGAAATATTTTAAAATACAAAATTCATTAATAATATTTGAAGCACTACTTTTATTAATACCACCGTCAAGGTAATCATGTTAATCGCTTATTGCGTTGAGAATGTGATGTTTCGTTTGAGATTATTTCTTATAAACCATATGACCTAAATAATATAGACCATAGTAAAAAAAAACATATAATTCAATTGTTTTCTACATTTTATTCTCAAAAAAAATCTAACACTCTCCACAAATTAAGATATCTCACAATGTAAAAATAACGTTATTACATTTCTATTTACTTTTTCACAATGCTTTATATATGAAAATTCTTAACAATGGATATTATTTTAAGGATAAGACATCATTCGAGAACATTATAAGAAGGTGGAATCTACACATTTTAAATTAATGTATGTCTGACTCATGTGGGATTACTTTTTAAATTATGATAAATCTTATTTTTAGAAGATAAAATCTCATCTCTAATCATTTTTCATCCATTACCATCTTCATTCTTAATACTTTATTTGAAATAATAAGATAAATTGATAAATTCAGTTAAGTTAGGAATATTTCACATATTATTAATTGAAAATTTATATATTATTAAATTTAGTTGAACTTGTGCTATGTTTAGAGTATTAGTCACACCTATATCTAAAATTCAAACATTAATCTAAAAATTAATCTTGAAGTCAATGTGAAACATACCATTAGTATTATCAAAAATTCTAAACCTTAAACCTTAAATCCTAAACTTGTACCATAAAATGGATAAGCCAATTGAAGATGACATATTTCTATAAAAAGAGGCATGATTTTAAGGAACCTAGCAAGCATGAAATTGACCCGTTGATAATTAGGGCATTAAAAAACATACACAACTGTTCATACATTAATAACAAATACCACACACACAACTACTATATTTAGTGTTCACTTTTCATTTATTAGCACTCACTTTCCATAAATTAGCAACAAATCTCAAATGTATTCAAAGCTCAAATAGTAATTTAAAAAATCAAATCAAAGAACACCATGTACAAATAACTAACATCAAATAATGGAGATCCATGTAACAAAAAGCCTTATAGGCCTATATTTTGGTGTTGGGATACTTTTTAAAGAATTGATGCAACCTCTAAAACTATATGTAATTTGTGTGATAAGGATTATACTATAAATTCTTCTAAAAATGGTACAAGTAACATAATTGTTGTGTAAATATAAAAGATTTACTAAAAAGATGCATGATCCTTTTTAAAACTCTTGGTGTTCATCAAATGAAAAATAAAAGATGAGAGTGATATTGATGCGCGTAGAAGAGGTAGGATGATAATAATAGATGAGTTTCTTTTAAGTTTGTCATCCCAGAATTTTACATGATAAATTTCAAATTCTGATGATAAGTTCAATTTTTATGGATTGGAGTCTTCCTTAATGAAAACATGAGTTAAATACCATTTTTTGCGTGAATATTTTACAAGTTAAATGTCAAATTATAAGGAGAATTTCAATTTCTATGAATTATTGCAATATTAATGAAAAACATGAGTTAAAAAATATGTTTAGTCATTCAAATTAAGAAATAAGTCTTACAAATTTTTATTGGTCTTTTGTGCAAAATGTGAGTTATCTTTTGTCTTATTGCACATTTCATTGATAAAAAATGGAAGTTGCATAAAAAAACAAATCTTAAATTAGTGTTCAATTAAGAATCCCAAGAGAGAAAAAAATTTGTTAGTGGTTGTCCACATGTTTTAAATTTTGTGGTTAATGATAGTTAAAGAAGTATCAAATGAAAAAAAAATAAAAATAATATGGTTAGATATGTTCATGCATCACATGGACACATGAATAAGTTTAAAAATTACATTAAATAATATATAATTTATTGTGCAATTATATGTTTTTACTAGTTGAAACTCAACCTACATAATGCTTAAAAGTAGATATAAATTTTAAAAAGGTGTAAATGATTGAGTGAAGAATGTAATGTTGAATATATTATAGTGTTAAGTGATGTGTTAGAAATAATAACAATTAGGATAATGCAAGATGTTGCTAAATTATTGAACTATTTTTTTTATATTACTTAAAAAAGTATCAATTACAAATTTTGTAATTTGTTCTCAATATTTCAATGAATATTATATTATATTACTTACATATTTATAAATATATAGGTAGTTTTGACAAATTTCTTGGAGATATCATTAAAAAAACTGAAAGCTAAATATAATAAGTATTGGATATATATATATATATATATATATATATATATATATATATATATATATATATATATATATATATATTATGGTTGTTAAGATATTTGATTCTTAGAGTAAGTTACACATTAAATTGATGTTGACCCTCCCTGCTTGATAGATATTAAAGAGTTCACGCAAGACATTAAAAGAAATAAAATAAATATTTGTGTGGTCTATTTCAAATACCTTAAATTACATCTACATGATTTTTTTTTTTATCTATACTTGTTCAATATGTTATATTTGGAACGAGAATTAATGTATAACTTTTTACAATAGAAAATGCAAGGAATGATTGCACATGAAGTTTAATAAAATAATTTTTATTTTCTACATGTAAGCCACTATTGACATTTTACATAATGATCTATTACCTCTTCAACTCTTAATGTCTTTTCTTTCATGATCTTATATTGTTGCCTTGTTGGTGTATATGTGTTTACTATTTTATTGTTGTGTTATGATTTTAACTTTTGACATCTTTAAACACGTGTTGTTGTATTAGTTTATGATTCATTTTTTTAATATGTAGAAATAGATTTTTGAAAGAAAGATTATTGTTATTCAACATATGTAATTTGAATCATTTACTAACTTAGCAATATTTATATAATTATAATTTGATTTGAAAGTTAAAAAATGTCAATGTTTACTGAAATAAAAGTTTAATTAAGAAATCGAATAGTGCAAAAACCAATCGAAACCAAATTAAAACAAAATATTTAGTTTAATTTATATATATATATATATATATATATATATATATATATATATATATTTAGAAGTTTGAC